AAGATTATAATTTCTACTTGCATGCTAAATCTGTACCAACTTTTGATGTGGACTACTGGGGAAGCCAGATGTGACTGAGTCTCATAGATATGGCTAAGGCTACCAGGCATGCTGGGGCATTGCCGTAATCTCAGCCTTAGGAAGCTAGAGTAGGAGGATGAAAAGTCTAGGTCTAGCCTTCATTATAGCAAGTATGGGGCTAGCCTATTCTCCATGAGACCCTGAATCAAAAGTATAATAAAAATGAACCAAAGCAAAAGACTCAGAAGAACCAATTTAGTTTAGAAGCCTTAAACATGTCCTAAAATTTGAGCATCCATGTTTATATTTAAAATGAATTGAGGACAGTTGTGTAATTTCTGGATTCTTAGCTTTAGCAAGTTCCTTCCTCCTAATCTAATTCTGGCCACAAAAACTACCATGAGAGAAAGAGGACTAGGATTAATTTTTGTTCTTCCAGCAAATATTTATCAAGAATCTGTAAATGGCAGCTGGCTTGTTGGGTGTCAGGAAAACAGATTGAGCCACACAGTCTTACAGCGGTGATGCCGAGGAACTGTAGCTATGAGGGGAGGGAAGGGTGAGAGGTAGAGGGGTACACAGAGAACATGCTTACATGTCCTCCAGAAAGTCTGAAGTGATGAGCACGACCATAGTCAGTATAAGCACTCAGAATAGTATTCTTGTAAATTTAGTCCTCGGGCATAACACTTAGAGGAATTTGATCGTTCCCACTCTGACCTATCTCAGGGCCAGATGGAGCTCAGCCCTCCTTGCTTTATGTTATGTTCTCTAGAATTATCCAGAAGTACTGTAGAAATCACTCTCTGCACATTTTCTTCCTGCTAGGGAGATATGTCACTTGCTGAGCTTTTTTTGGATATGAAGGGCACAGAAGCTGTACAGTTGTGTGTCCCTTATCATGAAGAAATGCTCAGAAAAATGATTCCAAACAATTTTGTCATGCGCACATCACAGGGTACACTTCTATCAGGTAGACAGTATAGGCCAGCTGTTCAGGGCAGCAGAGCTAGTCACTGTGAGAAGTATGAGCAGCTGCCCTAGAAAAACAGCATCACTTCTTATAGTGAAGCTTTAGTTCTAGGCAGGAGTGCCTGCCCTCTCAAACAGCGGTTGTCAACCAGTGGGTCACAACCCCTTCGGAGGTCACATATAAGATACTCTGCATATCAGATATTTACATAACAACTCATTACAGTTACAAAGTGGCATTAAAAATAATTCTATGGTGGGGGGGGGTCAACACAACATGAGGAATTGTATTAACGGGTTGCAGCATTAGGAAGATTGAGAGCCACCACTCTAAAACAACGGTCCATGGTGGAATATAGTGTGTAAGCCTGCAATGCAGCCTCTTACGGTCATGTCAGCTGTTATGTGTGATACTGCTGAACTTCCATACAAGTGACACAGCATTGTATTCAGTCACATCAGCACCACCAAAACCCTGACTAAGGCCTGATATGGTAACACAGCAATGGCTATGCCAACAGTGTGTGATAAGAATGTTCAGTTAATTTCATTAGAAGTTTAGGGGACCATCATTGCGTATAGAGATTAACATTAGCCAAATGTTATTGCATAGGCATCATTGTACAATAAAAACAGTCAGGGCTGATGGCTCAAGGTTAAGAGCACTGACTGTTCATCCAGAGGTCCTGAGTTCAATTCCCAGCATCCACATGGTGGCTCACAACCACCTGTAAGGCCCTCTTCGGTCATGCAGGCATGTCTGAAGGCAGGACACTCTACACATAATAAACAAATCTGCTGGGCTGTGGTGGTGCATGCCTTTAATAGCAGCACTCAGGAGGCAAAGGCAGGTGTATCTCTGTGAGTTCAAAACCACCCTGGTCTACAGAGCAAATTACAGGACGACAGGCTCCAAAGCTACAGAGAAACCCTTTCCAAAAAAAAATAAAAACAAAAAACAAAAAAAACCCAAAATCCCAAAAACAAACAAAACAGAAAATCAGTCTATTATATTAAACAGCTATGTTTGAGAGTCACAGAAGAGCTAAGAAAATGTGGCCATCATGGACTTCCATGAGAGATTTTGAAAGTAGGGGAGGTTCAGATAACTCAAAGGTCTTACAAAGTGAGAAAGGTCATGGGGAGTGAGGTGAAGTGTTGATTAAGTGTGCTTAGGTTAAGATGGCTATTTACTAATATGGTGTGGACAATAAATGGTCAAAATGAGTGTGAACCTGGGTGATTTACAGATGGATAGGCAAGAACTTTAAGAATCCTCTATCTAATGTCACTTACTTATGCTTAGGTATTGTATATGAATAGACCTCTATCTGATGTCACCTACTATGCTTAGGTGTTGTATGTGAATAGACCTCTATCTGATGTCACCTACTATGCTTAGGTGTTGTATATGAATAGAAAAGTAGGGTACGGAAGCAGGGAGCAGAAGGAAATTAGCTCAAACTGGAAATGACCAGTAGGAGGGGGTTTCTTGTGGTCTGAGGTCCCAAAGAGCAGTGTGGAATGGCCAGAGGACAGCTGGGATTTCCTGTCACTCTGCTCCAGCAAGGCCATCTGACTGAACCCTCAGAGCCCAAGATACACACAGTAGAGAAAACCAGGTTCGTCTGGAGTCATATGAAGCATGCAGTATATGACAGTACCCTAGAGTCCACATTGCACACAACAGCATAAAACCAGTTTCATCTGGAGTCATATGAAGCATGCAGTGCTGAGTCTCAGATCCCAGGGTGCTGAATGAGAAGATCTGGAGTGGATCCAAGCTGCACATTTCTAACATGCTCCCAAAAGATGACACAAGGGGACCATTGTTCTAAATCTCTCCCTTGTCAAAGTTCCAACCCAACACTCCCTGGATTTGGTATGCTGTACTTTCTATAAAAGCACATGACGAAAACAATCAAAATTGAATTTGTTGAATCATTATATAATTTTCCTGGTTCTCTAAATTTCTGATGTTTTCAATATATTTACCACCAAGCATCATTCATAATGTGTTCCAACATAATGTATTCTAACTCTTTCTACTCAGATGTCTCCTTCATGTTTGATGTAACTCCCACCCACCTCCATCTGTCACTGTTCCCATCAAATGGAATGTTACCTACATGTCTTTATAATAACCCAAACATTACCCATGGCTCAAAGTGTTTCAACATAAAGATTTTTGGGGTCTTGTCCAAACATTTTGTCTTCCTTTTTGCACCAAAAGTCTTTTCACTGTACTTTGCTTTTTGATAATTTAATAACTCCCATTTCTTTATAGTAACTAAGAGTAAATATTTTAACAGTAGCATAGACTTTGACACATTTTGCATCTTCCAAAAAGTGTTCAGCACAGAAGTAGAAAACGAGAAGTACTGAATTGAGTCTTACTGATAGCATGTAATTTTTACTTTCTAATAGTTTACTAAATGAATTACAATCCTCAATCATGCACCCCCATTTATTTCTGCAGAATACAAAATAAATATTTAAAAAGTTGTGATTACATCATAAAGTTGTAAGCAAAGGTGCAAAATCACTCCATGAGTTGACCATGCTGTCTCTGTGTTTGTATCTTCATGTGTGCTTAGTGTTATCATTTTCTTTTGTTCAACATAAACATAGTGGGATTTTCTTCATAATAATATGAAGAAATTACTTTTTCTGCTTTGGTTAGCTTGAGAAGTATCAAGTAAAATGGTAAAGGCTTCCACGGAGTAAAGATTTGATATTTACGCAATGTCCTCCTTCTCATACCCATACTAGAGCCAAACCCAGAACTGCTTTGTGTCTTTGCTGTTTGGTTATCTTCTGAAAGTTAAGTTGCTTAAAATCTCTTCTCACTACAGCCATGTAAACAGCCACATGGCGTCATCAGTACAGTTCAGGGTTATAAAAGCCTTGAATACCTTGCCTAGGAGAACATGATCTATTTAAATTTTGAACCAATAAGGACATAGCTTCTAGAAAAAAAGCTGAAAATATTTAACTAAACATTGATTGACAAGGAGAAAGAATATGAGAATTAAACTCATATTTTTACTTTTTACATATGCCCCTTAAAACAAGGTTGGGCTTGTTTGTTTGGTTTGAAAATGGGAAGAAGAAGAAGAAGAAGAAGAAGAAGAAGAAGGAGGAGGAGGAGGAGGAGGACGGACGAGGAGGAGGACGGACGAGGAGGAGGACGAGGAGGACAAGGACGAGGAGGACGAGGAGGAGGACGAGGACGAGGAGGACGAGGAGGAGGACGAGGACGAGGAGGAGGACGAGGAGGAGGACAAGGAGGGGGAGGAGGAAAAGAAGTAGAAGAGAAAGAGGAAGAAAAACTTTCCTCCCTTTTTCCTCTTTTTATATCTTTGGAAACTTAGTTTAAAATAGCTGATTGCTAAAATGTCCCGTATATGTCTCTTAAAAAAAAAAAAAAACAGGAGTGGGTCAGACAAATAACTTGTGCTTTGGGGTCTGAGTCATGACACAGCCATTCTGTTTTTCTGTCACGTAACATAACATCTCTTAGTAACATGATTCTGTCATTTCATCCTGGACTCCCAGAGAATTTTCTTTAGAGATAAATATAAGGAAGATAAATTAATCATAGATTTTAGACAGTCAACTATTCACCAAGAGTGAAGTTAGATCAATAACATGAGACCTCTGTACAGAAAAATACCAACAACCTCTCATCTACCACCCGAGAACATAAATCAAGATGGCTACTGTTAAATCAGCTAGACGAATCAATAATTTCTCTGCACATAGATTTTTGTCTTTGTTCTTGTCATTTCTTACACTTTTTTCAATAAAGGAATGAACCTTTGAAAAATGAAAGTTTTTTGCATTCCATATATCATTATCATTTTTGTAATATTTTTGTTACCAAAATCACATTAAAAGTCCTTTAAATTTAAAGATCAGATTTGACAAGGCTTTTCAGTAGACTCAGTTTGATGCTGTTGAGAAGTGGATGAGAGAATCATGCAAAGCACAAAGTGACCACATACCAACTGCTGTCATGTAATCCCAGCGGTCCGTGAGGCACATGTTGAAGGTGAGGTGATCAGATGTTTGCCCTTGGCCAACAAGCAAAATATCCCTCTCCAAGTTCTGACACATAGAAGAAGTCCAGCCAACCAGAAACCAAAACACCACCAAGAGTATTACCGCCAGCATCCTCATGACCCTACCACCAGTCATGTATGGGATTCTTTGTGCCGTTCTTGAGAGAAACACCTTCAAAACCCTACAAAGGAAGAAGATCAACATGTGAGGATAAAACAAATGGTCAGAAGGAAAATCTTTAAAATACAGCATTTTAGCTTTCAGAAAATTGAAACCCAACTGAAAATCACCTACATAGTTTTAAGATAAGAACCCCACAAACATTATTGTTAATATTTTTATTTAATTTCACTTTTGTTCCAATATTATTCTAAGTCAAATCTTCCTGAAGTCAATTGTTTGCTCCTGTAATAGAATATGGCTATCATTATTTTTCTGTATTTCATTTCACATGGCTTCTTCTTGTAGTTATTTTATCACACTGTTAAATAATGTGGTATCATAAATACAATTATAAAAGAGCTATTTAAACATTAGGTTAAGTCAGTAAAGTCATGTTGTCAAGGAGGATGGTCAGAATGAGCTGTTTAAAACTGTGGGCTTTTCAATGGACATTTTTTTTTCTATAGAGATGGCTCAAACAGCTAAGGCACTACTTAGTACCTAGTAGTACTAAGGAACTACTGCACTCTATGACCGTAGTATTATTTTACTTCTCAATATGGCAGGAAGGAAAAATATTGAATTTTCCTTTGTTGAAGTTTTACTGTCTCAGCAGCCATTGCCTGTAGGTCATCATATGGGATTGACCGTTGTGAAATTCCCCACCCATATTGGCATATCAACTCTTGGCGGAATTATGCAGGTTTTCCTCAGCTGGGCATGTTGTTGAGCTTTCACCCGTGTTATTTTCCTGTCAGGTCTAGAAAACACGACCAAGCGGCTGGCATCCTAGTTCTCTGGCTCTTACAATCATTCTTTCCCCTCTTCTGCAAGCTTCCCTGAGTCTTAGGTGTAAGAGTTGTGCTGTAGGTGTATTGATGATGGCTGGGCACCCACAATTACTTATTCTTTGCAGTTTGACCAATTGCAGAACTCTGTAATAACGTCCACCTGCAGCAAAAGAAGCTCCTTTGATGAAAGGTTAGAGCTACAGGCATCTGTAGAGATAAAGATAGGCATTTAGACGGCAGTTAGGAATTACGGTGCTTTAGGGAAGTGGCAGTAGTAGGCTCTCTTCTCGGATCCATGACCACAATAGCCTCAGGTGATTGGCTGGGTTTTCAGTACCATGTATGACTTTCCTTGAGCAGGACTGAAATCCAATTAGCAGCTGCTGCTGATGCTCAAGACAAACGTGCCACTATTGCACTATTGGGGATATCCTGCTAGCTGGTCACTGCTATGGACTGTAGGCTTCCTAGCTGAGTAGGTCTGCTGATCGCTTTTCTCCCTAAGTCGCCTGCACGGCATCTTTGGATATTATTAATGCTAATCCACAGGTAGGAGGCTTCCAGATCATTCCAGCTTGATTCTTCAAGTCCTTGTCTGAAGAGTATGGCATCCTCAGCAATAGGGTCTTACCTTCCATTTCTGGGAGGCTATCAATGACAATAGCAATAGCTTATATTGTTTTGGGAGTCTCTTGAACCCCAATTTTATCTTTTATAAATTGTATAATTATATGTATACCAAATAATTGTTTCAATAAAAATTCTTAGGCCATTAAGATGGGTCAGCAATAAAAGGTTGCTTACCCTATGCCTGATGACAAGTTCCATCCCAGGAACCCACATGGTGACAGGAAAGAACCTAGCCCCAAAATGTGTCCTCTGACCTTCACACACATATTGTGGCATGTGCATGCCCATGTAACACACATGTATGTACACAATAAATAAACAATATATACATACATAAATAAACAAAATTATTTCTTTATTTGGTGCTAAGGATAGAATACAGGGCCTCAGGTATACAAGGTTTCCTTACTGCTGAGTCAGGCCTCTACCCCTTTCAATTTAATTTCATTATGATTCATTATAGGCAAATTATTGGTGTATCTATTTTACATACTTATACATAGATACACCTGTATACCTAGGTATATATAACAATTTCCCTTATAGAAAGAGGCTTGCATAGAATGTTTAATTATCTCTCCGGTTGAAAGTTTACATCCTAACTGTAAGTCTGAAATTGTTACTATTGTATGAAAGCCCCAGAAAGTAATAAAAGTATTATATTAAAAGTAAAATCAATGGAGGAAATGAAGAAACTGTTATCATATGAAACACCACATAGTCATGTGTTATGTGTCATGGGTATGCCTATTGTCCAGTGGGAAACATGGGGCTGGATCCCAGCCTTGCTGGAGACCATACTGAGAAATGGTAAAAGGGACAAGACGCAAAGTGGTGCTCTTGTCAAGGGAAACGTGTAGAGGAGAAAGAGCCGAGTTATCTTGAAGCAGCTATGGAATTACTTTGCAGGAAGGGTGTTTGCTTCCCAACATTGCACAGGACTCCTGGGTGCTTTTCAAGTTCCTGCAAAATATTTTTTTAATCAAGTTGAGGGCTGCTGCTTTGGAGAAAATTACTTGTTATTTATGCTTTATTTCTGTGACAAAGATATATAGAATTTTTTTTCTGATACCAAATGTTCATAGAAGCTCAAAGAGTAAATAGTAAATTCATTAAGTGCCTTATTATGTCGTTCCAAATACTTCTTACTCTCATCTCATCCCCTTCCCCCTCCTTCCCCTCTCTGTGTCTGTGTGTGTATGTGTGCACTCGCATGCACATGCTCAAGTGCAGGAGTGTGTACAGGCCAGAGATTGCTGTTGGGTGTTGCTCTCTATTGTTCCTGGTGCTATCGGAATGGTTCTCTCACTGAATCTAGAACAAATCAATGGGCTAGACTGACTGTCCAGTGAGCCTATAGGATCTGCCTACCTCTGCCCTCCTACCCTGCCTCACAACACTTGAGTTATGGATACACACCTTTCGTACAGGTGCTGGGGATTGAACTCATGTCATCATATGGTGGTGGATCAAAGACTCCATCACAGAGCCATCTCCACAGCTCCATTAGTCAGATAAATTTTGACTGCAGAGGAAATCAATATGATGTGAGCTTGGACATTTTTTAATAAAGAAATCTCATTTCTAAATTACCCGAAATGCTTATGTTTTCCAGACGACCCTTGGGTACTCATTGTACAACCTGATAACTCAAGATTACTGTAAATCCAATAATCCCATTTCTAGACAGGAAAAAAATACAATCTGCATTTCTGCCACCACTGACTTTACAACTTTCAAATAAAAAAAAACTGTAACAAAAAAGTCTAAACAGTTTAGAATGTGAGTTTCTAAAATGATATAAGATGCATTTCTAGACACGCCTTAGAACAAAGTGAGAAAATCGTGGTCTATCTCTAAAAATTGAGCCTTTGTTCATTTCTATTAGTTGGGCCCTAGAAATCAAATTCTAAACATGATTTCCTAGGCATGCATTTGTATGAACCACAGCTATGGAAGCACATTTACATACACATACACACATATACTCATACATACACATGGACACATGCACAGACATATACACCCACATGTACACAATACATACAGACATATATTCATACATACCCACATACACATACAGACACATGCATGCACGCATACATACATATACTCATAACACATATACATACATGCATTACATATATATACACACATACACAAAGTTTCTAATGTAATGACATTTCCATGATCTTTTCACAGATAAATTTTACTTTAAATTTGTTTTACTTTGTTTTAGAGACAGGTTTTCTCTGTATAACACTTCTGGAATTTGCTTTGTAGACCAGGAGACCTTGAACTCAAAAAGATACACCTCCCTCTACCTCCTGAGTGCTGAAATTAAAGGCATGCACCACCAGGCCCAGAACTTTAAAGTTTTTAGTTAAAATATAATTACAACATTCCTTCCTTTTTTCTCTTCCCTTTCCTTTACTATTCCCCCTCCCCCATTCCTTCTCAAATTCGTTGGCTATTACTTATATGTATTTATATATCTTTCTGAGTCCTTTAAGCGTTGTTTATATGTATATATTGCTGCTTGTAAGCAAGCATGCATGTTTTAATATTGTATTGGATAACCATTTAGGGGTTCATCCCTGGGAAAGACTAATTCTTCTTCTCTTAGTAGTCTTAAATTGGCTGTCGCTTTTCTTTATCTAGCAGTGGGACCCCAGGACATTTCTCCATCCACAGTGGCATGTCAGCTGGTGTTCATTGTTTAAGCAGTCACATGGTCACATGGCTGAAATTTCATGGGTGTGGGGAAATGATCAGGCAACTATCTTCTCAGGAGGTTTTCCCATTCGTAAAGGCAGAAGAATTTAGAATGAATAAGGAACACATTATTCTGGCTGACAAGTGGGTGAAAAAAAATGTAATTTTGAAGATAAAGGGTACTTGTCCCTACTCTCTCACGCCCCACCTTTCTAGTTTGAGCTCACACAACTGTTTCGTCATCCAGGATCTGGTTGATACACTCTTCTTACCATGTGGGCTTCCAGCTCTTGACGTGCATGAAACATAGGCTCCCGCTGTGTCATGGTACCCTGATTTCCCTCCCTTTCTGTCAGTTCCTTTTCAGTCTTGGAAGTTATCTCCTTCCTCAGCCATCCTTTCACGTGGCAGTGTTTTTCATGGGCCTTCTAAATGTCGCTCCTGAGGTTCTTATCCTGCACAGCATACCCAGACATTTGCATCTGCTTCTGTTTCACTTGTCAGTCACCAGCAAGCCCCACATCTATATATTCAGCTCAGAACACTCCCCCGAGTCCAAGCTCTGTAACTTAATGGCCTACCAAAGACAAGCAGATCCCCAATTAAAACACTCCCTCCCTCTGCCCTCTAATTCACTTGACTGTATGTTACCTATCTCCATGGGTACTGTGACCTAATTGTACAGTGCAGAGACCCAGGAATGAACTCTGGAGTTTTTCTTTCATTCACACTCCAGCAATTAAATGAATCATCAAGGATTTATTTTCTGTCTTCACCGTCTTTCAAATCCTCCTGTTTTTTTTCCATCTGCACCACCGCTATATAGCTCTTGCACACTAATATGCTCTCATAGTAATGTTCTAACTTCTGTCCTTACAGTCTT